CAAATGAACATCGAACGAAGAAACAAAGGAATGAACGAACGAATGAACGAACTAACAAACAAACAAACATTGAACGAACGAACGAACAAACGAACAAACATCAAACTAACGAACAAACATCGAACGAACAAACTAACAAACTAACGAACAAACATCGGACGAAAAAACTGACGAACAAACATTGAACGAACAAACATTGAACGAACAAACTAACAAACTAACATCGAACGAACAAACTAACGAACAAACATCGAACTAACGAACGAACAAACATTGAACGAACGAACAAACGAACGAACTGACAAACAAACATTGAACGAACGAACAAACATCGAACTAACGAACAAACATCAAATGAACCAACTAACTAGCTAGCTAGCTAACTAACTAACTAACTAACCAACTAACTAGCTAGCTAGCTAACTAACTAACTAACTAACCAACTAACTAGCTAGCTAGCTAACTAGCTAACTAACAACGAACTAATAAACTCGCTAACAAACTAGCTAACCAACTAGCTAGCTAACTAAGTAGCGAACTAACCAGCTAGCTAACTAACTAGCTAGCTAGCTAACCACTGGACAGTTTCTAACTTTCTCGTTTGGATTTGAACCGTTCTCAGGGTCGACTGCAGCGAACGGCGTTTCTGTTTCTCCAACGTCGGAGAAATGAATCCTGGGAAAAGTGGGCCACGCACCAACTTCCTCCCCCACGTCCTCACCTCCTGTGGTACAGGAAGTGAGGACACGTCGGACGGACGGGGTCGGTACCAGGAGGAAACTGACCGAGGCCGTCGACCAATGAGCTTCAGGTGAAGAAGGCGTTCAGTCTGAACCCCAGACCTTTGACCTCTGACCTCTGAGAAACCCCAGACCCTGGTCTCTGACACCTGTCAACCGCAGACCCTGACCTCTGACCTCTGTGAACTCCAGACCCTGGTCTCTGACCTCTGTGAACCCCAGATTTCTGTGAACCCCTGACCTCTGACCTCTGTGAACCTCTGACCTCTGAGAACCCCAGACCTCTGACCTCTGACCTCTGAGAACCCCAGACCTCTGACCTCTGTGAAACCCCCAGCCCCCCTAACCTCTGACCTCTGTGAAACCCCCAGCCCCCCTAACCTCTGACCTCTGTGAAACCCCCAAAACCCCCAGCCCCCCTAACCTCCGACCTCTGACCTCTGTGAACCCCCCACCCCCCCTGGGCCTTCGACCTCCGACTCTCCGTCCACGCAGATTCAAACCTCGTTACATAACAAAGAGTGACATCAGCGACACAGTCACCAGCACCAGCCGGCACTGATGCCACTGAGGCATGCTGGGAAAAATCACAGACCACAGACCCCATGTCCCCGTGTCCACTCAACTCACAGAGAGATGATTCCCGGTGGGAAGATCTTGGGGACGGCCTTGGTGTCCACGCAGAAGGCACTGTCTCTGGTGCAGGAGCAGGTGGACGGGCAGCGCGGCGCCTTGGCGGCTTTCTTGGCGTCGGAGCCCGGCGTCAGACAGAGGCAGAGGCCGAGACCCAGGAGGACCAACCAGAGGAGCCTCAGCGGTCCGGGTCGGGGTCCGGGTCCGGGGGTCATCCTGTGGATCCTGCGGTATACGGTATACGGTATACGTCCAGTTTCCAGACGGCGGCGCAGATCGGTCCGACTCGGAGCGCTGCACTGGAGAGACTGAACACACAGACTCTCACTCACT